AAAGAGTGTGCATCAATAAATTCTACCCTGAAACCAATTGATCTGGCTCTTAAAAAAATCATGTGCCTGTTATCACTCCTTGATGAAAGTTGTGCAAACCAATTCAGAGCTCTGTGGTTAGATGTCACACCGAGTTTGTGGATGTGGGTCTTTCCTGCATGTCTGCTGTCAATCAGGGTTTATCTGTATGACATCTGAAGGCAAGATAGCAAAAAAATTGCAAAAAAGTTTCCAAAACCTACTGAGTCACACAGCAATATGGACACAAACAAAGCAGAGGAGAAAAGTAAAAAAAATTATGGTACATTTTTCTTGCAGGGAAACATTTCACTCATGCAAAATAAAAACTGCACAAGGTAGTCTGATCCTCCTCCCCTCCTTTTTTAAGTAAGGCAACAAAGCACTTCTACAATTTCACACTAATAAGCCTTCATAGCTAATAAGTAGTCTGAAGACAGTGTAATCCAAGATGTCAGCACCTGTTTTGTGGACCAGATGAGTAGTGCCACTGGCACCCAATTAGGTACAAAGATAAGGTGAAGGCTAAATGCAACCACACTGAGCAGCAGCTTCAACCAAGGGAAGGTTTTCTTGAGGGAACCTATTTTTGTAACTTATTCATGCACTCAAGTACCAAGCATAAGTAAAAATCCAGTATCAAGAGCTATAGAGGCCATTTAGCATCTGTAATTATCATCTATCCCATCTAATCTCAGGTAAGAGCCATGCACCTACCATACAGAATCACAGAATAAATACAGTTCTGTAGCTCTTCACTAGAAGGCAAGAGCATGCCATATTACTGCTTGACAACAATGCCACGATCTCCTATCAAACCTGAATGGAATGGAGGATCCAACAAAATAAAACTGCATGACCCTTTTAGGCCAGTACAACAGAGCAACAACTGGGATACCCTTGCACTCCCATCCCAAGCATATGGAGAGTGGCTTCATTATACTTACAGAATTCTCTTGATCTGGTTCCACTGTGACAATAGCATAATCTCTAAACTGCAGTCTAATTTTGCTATCTATTTTTGGCAATTTCCCACCTAAGAAAAAGAAATTCTCCATTAGAAAGGAAGGAAACAAGACAAACAGTGGAAACAGAGCCCTCTGTGCACTACCCACTCTATTATGGCTCGATTTTTTGTTAACCTCTGTTTCAACACCCACATATTCTCAAACCTGGGGAGAGGGAGACTATTATTCTTTCATCTTTATGGTCTACAAGTAGCTGTAATAGCAAGCTAGAGCAGAAGGACAAATTATGCCAGTTAAGCATTCTCAGCACATAGTAGGTTATTAAAGCTGCCAATTTCAGTCTAGGATAACCTTTATTTCACTCTGAGAGAGATATGTCATCTCTTCCACTAGACACAAGGAATTAACCGGGGTGTGCAGATGCACATGTAGAGCCTAGCACAAAATGAAGCTGGTAGTGGAATATAATCTTTGCCTACCATAAAATACCAAAGTTATAAAAGCCAGTTAGTAACAGCTCTACCATCACATCAGCCAAGGGAATGGGTGGTAACTTCAAAATTTACCTGGAGTCAAAGGATCAGAGTCACATCCCAAGAAAGGTGGCAACCGATTCATAATGAAATCCTTCTTCATGTCAGATGATCTTAGTTCTCTGGTGTTTTCCAGACGGTCTGCAAGCCTTCTCAAAAGGCTACTCAGTTTTTTTGTTGATTCAGCTATATCCACCTGCTAAATATTGACATAGAGTTGCTCACACATGGATTCAAGCTAAATAGATTAGCCTAAATGGAAAGAGGTGCAGTAATGCAGTGAAAATCTGGACACTCCTCCTTTCTTTGCCAAGAGTAACAATGTTTACTCTCAAAATAACAAGCTTTGATTCTTTTACACATTCCCCAGGAGCTTTTCAAGCAGGGCAGCTGATGCTCCCTCTGGCGCTACCTACAATGCTAAAGGACTTGCAAGTGTAGTTGAGAGACTTTTAACTTCTGCACACTGATGAGCTGATCAGCAACACAACTGGACTACAATAAAGAGTTCACAAAACAATTTACAGCATTGCTAACTTTAAAAGATTCAAAAGCTTGGCCTGACAGGAACTTTATCTGACAGCTCAAAAGCAAATACTATTGCTTCTAGAAGGGAAACATCACAGTGTCCTTGCATGGCTTATGAAAGAAGGGCAGTGCAATGAACCGCGCAATGTTTCAGATGGAGCAAACCTCGGAAGAGTCACCCTGAAGTCTTCAAAACAGTTGTGCTGGGAGACAAGATAGAGCCATTGCACTAAGCTTTCAGAGCAGATGAACATGCTTGCCACAGTGCTAAAGTTTCAGCTGGATGCACTATTCCCTTAGCTGAACCTACTTACCATCAGCAGTTGCCTTGGTATGCTAGTCCGTAGTGCCACATCTTCTTTTGCTGTATCAAACACTAGGCCGGGAATTGCATCCAGTAAGAAATCTCCCCAGGAGCTGAAATCCAGGAAATAAAAAAAATAAATTACTAAAAGTTGCACTGAAATAAAACAGACTTCTTAACTGACATCAAGGGCTGGAAATGTAGTGCTCCAATTCCAAATTTGCTTTCTTCCATCACCCCTGTGTAATCTCATGCAACAGCTCACTCAGCAGTATGTGAGTCCTCACTAGTTTCAGTCAGTGGTACTTGTACAGAGAGAAGAAACTGGTTTGAGAAGGGTCTAGTCTGTTTTGATTCAAGTGCTTCAGTAGTGGATTCAGCTTAAAGCTGACCTCAGTGAAGGAAGAAATTCCTAACAGAGCTACTATTACCCAACCACACACACATACAGCCTCATCACACACAATGAAGTGTGTGGAGCTGTGTCAGTTAGCATGCTTTTGAAACACTTATATTGAAGGAGAAAATGTACCCAGGGTTCTCACATCCAACATGGCCATCAGTTTTTAGCTTTGCTACAAACTTATGACCTCAGGAACAAGACCCCTATATATCTCTACAGGGATTTTAACGATACCCAACAAGCACCTTGTAGACGTCTTGATTATGTGACATCCCCATTCTCAGCCTACATGCTTAAGAAAAAAAGAAGGCTTTTGTTTTCTGTGCTTCTATTTCCCAACTGTAAGAATAACCTAGAGAAGGGGAGGAAGGACTACTCTCTGTACCTTCTTGCCTAGTTTAGAGTCAATCTCATTGGGAACAGGCATGCCTCTCACACAAAATGCTGTTCTGTCCACGTGTGGCCACATCCACAGAGGCTGATTTTAATGGGCAAACAAGCAGGGCAAATGCCCAGCATCCAAGGCTGCCAGAAGACTCCCATCCAGCTAGGGCAGGCAGCAGAGCAGGAGCCTGTCCTCCAATGTACACTTCATCCTCTGCTCTTGGTCTCCCTCAGCACTCCCTGTTTTCAGCATTGATTTCTAGATACTGCTATAGTATTTATTAAAAAAAAAAATTAAAAAGAGCATGACTTGTTACAGTCTCATTTACATTCATTTACATTCCTTTTTATCATCTCTACTCAAGTGCTCCACTATCTGCTACACACCGGGAAGGAAGGACTCTGGCCCATAATAGAATTAGACATCTTAAACTTCTTACTGCTTCCCTCTTCTTGCCCCAAATCTCCATCTGCCAGCAACTATCTTCAGCTACTCATTGCTTTCCCAAACTGCCATGCTCAAAATGAACTCACACACACTTCTCTGCCTATTGGAATCTAGCCCAGAGGAACCATCCAGCACACAGTGGAGTCCCTTTTGTCTTGGTGCCTAAAAATCCCTAAAAGTGTCACTTCCACCAACACTTCCTCCCCTCGCAGTTCCTTCTGCATGTGCCACTTCCTAAACTTTTCAATTTTCCAGACCAGACTTCAGTCTACAAGCCAAATTACACAACGAGCCTGCATCGGGTTTGTTGCTGATTGTACCTGTGTTTGCTGAAAGCAGGTGTGCAGGCAGTCTCTTACACTTCCTTTCCAATAACCTTAATGGATGATTATTCCACTTTCTACCATTAGAAGAACAGTAGTCTTCAAGCTTTTCCTTTTTCCTCTCCTAATTCTGTCACAAGAAGCCAGGGAACACACTCCCAAGCAACATCATTTCTCAAATAACTCACTGAACTGGCATTTGGCTTAGGCTGTTAAGGATAAACTGTGTTGATTCTACACAAGCCTGTCAGGCTTCAGCAACCCTGTTACAAGGAGCCGAATTCTTGTTTCCTCAGTACGACCTGACAAATAACTGTATGAATCAAGCTGGACAGACCCTGCTCTGTGCATTCAGAATTCCTGCACACTGGTCTGTAAACCTTCACTCCAGACTTGCTTCCATCAACAAGCCAAGCACCCACTTACTGGTAGTGTCCCTCTTCTGTATGTTCAGTTCACTAAGCAAGGGGCAAGAGAAGTGCCAGGACAACCCCAGGAAGTGGTGGGACAAAAAAGGCAGGGGAAGGGAGGATGAGCAAAATGTTTCTGTGGAGGCCACTCACTGCTGATCATTCTGAATGTGCCACCAAAGTTGCCAAAGCTGCTCAGCACTAATATTGCCTCCTGCATATGAAGCTAAATGCTCTTTGCAACAGCAGTCACTGCTTCCAGAAAATGGCCTTTTTTTCTCTTTTTTTTTTTTCCCCTTTTGAATAAAATTATGGAACACATGTGTAAATTAAAATAAGCTGAACCCAATTTTTATGAAGACTCACACTTTCGAGCAGCTTCATCTTAACCCTCTCTCCAACTTGGAGGACTGGCCACATTAAGCATTACCAACAGTACTGGCATCTTGGGCTTCCAGAATGGTACAGGTGGTAGGTAGAGATCCATCTTACAACACCTAGAATATGCCCAAACTTGTTCTGCCCTGTTTTATGTCTAACACAAATCCTTCCCAATTCCTAATTCAGGCCAATGACTCCAAACCCAGCATCTGAGAGGCTGATGAGGTGGCCGCAGCATTTCCCTGTGTGATGACAGTGCTTCAATGGGCACAAGGATCAGATGTAAGTTGAACGAAATCTGACTTCCTCGCACAGGGTAGGAGATGGAAAGAGACAGGTAAGTAGAAAATATTTGTGAAGGAAGAATTTGCCACAAGTCTGTCAGAACAGGTGTGGGCAACTATCAAATGAAGGAGAAAACACAATGAAAGGAGTAATTTGTGACTCTTTATCAGGGTTATGAAATGAACAGCAACATCAGTCACTGGTGAGAGATCTTTTAAACACAACAGTGAGTCTGCAGTTGTAACGTTACCTTCCACATTGAAGTCTACAGCTGGCAAATAATAAAATAACCAATTACAAAGCAATCAAGCTTACTGCATGAAAATCTGGTAAACAGGCTGCTTCAAACAACAACAGTCTTGCTGCCTTCCTTCCTCCAAACCTCAAAACTTCAATTACTGCTACCTGAACACTAGCTTAGATTCTGCTAACCAGCAGGGCACATACATAATCGTGGGGTACCTACCTACATTCCATGTCACTACGTCTCTGGGGAAAAGCTGATATGCCCTATTCTTCTGTTACTCACAGAAAAATAAACCACACAAGGGCTAAATAGAAGGAGCACAGAAAATAGGTAAGCAGAGCTCATTACAAGGTGGTTATTTAAGAAACAAAACATCACTTCTTTGAAATATCAGTTTCAGGCCTGTATTATTCACATACATCATCTGGCAGATGAAAGCTATTTTCAGAGAAGCCATATTTAAACAATAAGAAAAGAGTAATTACTTGTTTTGGTAGGTACTGATGGTCACGTGTGTAGAATAGGAGATCCCAAGAGGAGTGTCAGCTTGGTGAATAGTCCCTCTTGGGAAGTACAGTAAGTCACCTGGCTGAAAGAACATGAAATAAAATTGATGTATTTAGGGCACCTGGTCCAACCTTACTGTAGTCAAAAATAGAGGAAATAGTCTCTGAGCAGACAGACTGACAACATATTATCTTTTAAATTCACAAGACAGTGAGATTCTCCACTGTACACTTTAATAACATAAAATAAAGCACTCTAAGCCAGAAGTCAGATACCCTAAACTTTCCAACTTACTGTCAGTATTTACTATACATCTGTCTGAAAAGATGAGGCAGCTTATTACAGAACATGTACACTCCAACTCAGGTGCATAAAGGGAACAAAGAAGCAGCTAAGATGAACCTGCTGACAGTAGAGTGGGCTAGCAGAGGAGCACAGTGCAATGTGAATTTGGCCAGATCATGTTAAAAGAAATGACCAGTATTCCACAAGAAAAGCCAAATATTCTATAGAGATGGTTAACTGTTACAATACTGTTGTCTGAAATTTTCCAATAAAACACTTTAAAAACAAGTACAACCTTCCTACCTATCTTTCTTCACACCTATCTAAATTACTTCTCTACATTGATAAGAATTTACATTAGGAAAGTCAAGATAAGAGAGAAGTGAAAAGCACACAAAATTCCCTCCAAGAAGGAAAGATCAGTTTACTTATGGCCTCTCCTATAAACATCTATATAGTTGGATAGCACAGTCAAACAGAAAATTCATAAAGCAACAATGATGAAATTTGATTCCATTTTAATTTTAATTCCTTAAATTTGGTCACATCACCTATTTCTAAAAGCCTATCCACTGTCTAGCACAGATATACTTCAAGTGAATACTACTTGATTTTTCACTAAATCAAAAGGTTTCCTCAGATTATGAGGCTTGGCAAGATCAAGTCTCTTCATTCATTTATAACAAGCTGCAAAGCATCCTAGAGCAGTGATGTACAATTTACTTGTTCTGAAGCAAGCCTCTCTCTCTGACATGAATAAACTGCCTTACCAGTGCAGGGACTATACTAACCAACTAAGAGTATTTTGAATTCTCTTAATTTGCTGTGTTTCACAGACTGCCAATATAGTTTTTAGCTGGTCCATTTATTCCAAACTGCCTAAACATCTAAAGGATGGCAAACAGAAATGCAAAAAAAATAGGAGACAGGAAATATTCTAGAAACATGTTTAGGGAGGAAGAGTCAACTGACAGCACCCCTGTCAGAGACAGCTCCAGATACCAAAGTCTGACAGTCCACCCAGAAGAAATGGATCAAGGGAAATGAAGAACATCAAACAGATGAAAAAAAAAAAAAAATTATATTAAACACTTAGATCACATTTAAGCCCTTTTCAGAGGCCAGTATTTTCACTCCAGTCATGTCCAAAATGTTCCAGAAATTAAACGGGGAATAGTAATTGACTATACAACTGAATATTACCATCTGTCAAATTAAGCAGCTAGTGATGTTTATACCATATCCAATGTCTGATACTATTTGTACACTACCTATACTCAAATGTAGGTAGAAGAGCACTGGGAAGAGCAGAGATCTTGCAAAAAAAGGCCCTAGAACAGGCCGCAAGTCAGAAGAACTAAAAATGCTTCCAACACAGAGCAGCCCTGCCTGCTGGATAAATAACACGCTTCAAAAACCCAAGCTTGTAAAACAGGACAGGACAAGTACCAGATGCCCTGCTGTCAAAGGGACAGCATTCGTTAATCTTTATGAAATGCCCTTTTTTATTCCAAATAACCAAAACCACACAAACATTTGATTTTCAGGTTTGGAACAAGAAAAAATAATAACAATACAGTGCCAACCCTCCCCTCAATTTCACAACCATGACCATCCAGAACACTGTCTTCAAGAAGCGGACCATTTTAAACATGACTACTTTTCTGGCAACCGTAGCCCAGATAAGGTAAAACAATTCAATTATAATACCTTTAATATGAATTCATGTGTGGGATTCCCAATCTTCTCTTCGGATTCAACATTATATTCCCGAGCTAAATGCACTGTTGGTTTATAGAGTCGCCAGTGTTTCTCACCTTCTAGCTGAAGGATAAACACCTGAAAAAGACCATAAATCCAAAGGCATAAGGACGTCTTGCTGCCCCTCACACATCAAACTGATCAGAAATTTTAAATCATCTTCTTGCTTGGAAAGTCTGTGGAACCATGCCAGAAAACAAGGATAGAAAGCAAACATTAGCACGGTAGGTTGCTTTTCCACCAACGAGAAACAGGTTCCACCTTTCCTGCTCTCAGGTATTCCCCAGCATGGCAAACAGCATTCCTCTCACATTATTTTTTAGATGTCTACAATGCCAAAATTTACATTTCAACTGTTTTTTTAGACTCTCCTTACAGACAACAGAGAGAAGAGTTAATAAGTGTGACCTGTTTTCTCCTAAGGTAGGCATTTGGAAACCAGTTTCTCTCAGCCACTCAAACAGGTGCTAGACAACTTGAAAGTAATCTCTGCCACACAGATAGTCAAAACATCAGGTGGGGGAAGCCTTATCACTAGTCAGATAAGGAGAGCATCAGAAACATCTAGGGGATGCTGTGAGCTGGGACATGATGACATACACCAGAACATGCAGGTTGTGAGGCTGCTGAACAACAAGCATAAAGAAACTGAAACTCCAGGTGTATTTAAAGGAAATAAAAAAATAAAACCAACATGTGTAAGGGGTATTTTTTTGTTTGGTTTAAGAGGAATAGCCCAAATTTTTTTTGTAATGCAGTGTCTATTTGAATGTTTCTTTTAGAAGCTAATTTAAAATGCATTTGGACCACAGGACCTTCATCATACCAGCAACTCCTTAAAACAGTAGGACTAGCAAACAGGAACCAGCACAACTAGTCTGCTTGGGCTGTCCACCTGGAGGAGTGAGTACTTAGAGTAAAGGAAAAAGGACTTCCAGGTTCTTGGGGTTTGGAATGAAGTGAAAATTTTTAAAAAATGGTGCTAGAAAGCTTCTGCAGATGGAAAAACAAATTCTCTTTCCATCTAATGAAAATACCAGATTTCAAAAGCACAGTTTACATTACGTTACCATTAGATATAACTATTAGTACCTTTTCAGTAAAATTATATGGGAAAATCACTACAAAAAACACTTGCAATGGATTACTGTAAGTTTTCAGTGGTAGAAACATTTTCTCCAAGTTATTTTATGAGAGAGGTGGGGGAGGAAAGTGCACATACAGGCATCCACTGCCACTAGCAAAGTCTCACGCACAGATTCACAGATAAGGTTGTGCTGTCCTACCTCAACATCATCGTAGTGAGGGGGAAGGCCTTGTGACCCCTGGGGAGTAATGTAAACATTCGACCCAACCAGAGACCCAAAGTAGCACTCCAGCTTCTCCTGTATCTTCCATAGCTCCTCCTTTAAAAAGAAATTATGTTGTTACTACTGAAAAGCTCAGAAAAGCCAGGCTGGCACCCCACTCACACCCTCCCCATTGCTTGGGATATTCTGCTAGTGAAGAATTTCATCTCTCACAGGGAGAGAGAGGCTGGGAAGGCAGATGCTTTCTATGAGTGCTCCTGCT